ACCTCTGACCCACCCGGCCACCTCATGCACAGTTTAAAAAAAAGATCAAGGTGAAAGAGTGATATTGTCACCATCACCAGACATTGCACGCATCAACCGGTCACATCGGAGGGGTGTCTCCATGCATCACTCTACACCCTCTGCGCCCACAGCCGCCTCCCTCTAAGAAACCGAGGAATGCAATCCACTGAAAGCAAGCAAGATGTACGTAACCGGACTATTCCCCACATTTAACACGTGGCCTACACGCTGTCGTGTGTGGGATTCTTGCACACTGAGCAGGAGGGACGATTACTGATACCTTGCAGTTGCCAGCAGAAATATACAACCAAGGGGAAGATGATGGAATCATTCAAGAGCAAATAATAATTTATCCACAATAGAGGTGTTTTGGGTTAGATTGTGTAAATATAAATGTGTCGTTAAACCCTCCACCACTTGACACGGCAAATTAGTAAGGTTTGTCACATTAACAAAACATGCCAATTCGTTTCTAGTTCAGCACACCATGCGGTTGGAGAGTAAACCCACAACATTGACAAATCGATTACGACGTTTTGCCGGTAATTACAGCCAGTCTCATCAGGCGATGGCCAGAGTTGTGGAGAAAACCTCCAGTTTCGGTCTTAAATAGAGGGGTATATGTGATGTAACTTGTGAGCCAATCATGATCGATAATAACTTAGCATGTCTGATATTTTTTTATTGAAAGCTTTCGTGACTGCAGTGATTCATATTCTTGGTTCTTTCGGTAAAGTCACGTTGAAGGGAAACAATAAAATAATGAAATATATATAAAACAATAAAATTCTCACGACGCTTCGACTGTAACACAAACAGTCATCATCAGGTGACAGTCATCATCACACCTGATGATGACTGTGTTGCAGTCGAAACGTCGTGAGAATTTTATTGTTATATATATTTTATTATTTCATTGTTTCCCTTCAACGTGACTTTACCGAAAGAACCAAGAATATGTCTGATATTATTACCATTATTATGGTGCAAGGATATCACGAAGGCAGCTATCTCACAGATGGGTAAAGTCTGCCAGTAAGCGGTGATATTTCTGTGTGGATTTATGCAATTAATTAAATTCGACACTGGCACACGTGGCCTGTTTTCACAATAACGTCACAGGATCATCGATTTCCCACTGCGGAGTAGACAGCACATAGTATTTGGGGTTAATACATCCGCAGGTCAATACACCCACAGTGTTAACCAGGGTGGCCACTGGGCTCGAACCACGAACCTCTGCAGCAAGCAGCGAATGTGTTACCGCTCGGCCGTGTCACTGCCCAAACCTTGGAGGCCTGATATCACGTCGCGTTACGTGATATCAGTGGGATCTCGCAACATGAGGCGAGGCTCGGTGTCGAGACGCCGAGGCATTGAAGCCGATGATCTCTTGACCTTGTGTGTATTTAGGCTCAACTTCCCTTCAGAGTTGTTTCTTATTGTCTCATTGACGCGAGCACTCTTTAAAAAGCATATTATAGGCAGATGCGGATGTTTATACTTGTTGTCCAATCCCTTTTCTTTACACGTTTTCAGAAAATAAAACGGCTTAGTGACGTAGCTGCAGCGTACTTGAAACATTGCATGCTTCGACTCTTAACACATTCTTGGAGATATGTGTGCGGTGATGTGGTTCACACACAAGGTCAGGGTTCACGAGTGCCAGTCCTTTTACTCAGCACCCTGTGCTTGGGCCTTTGACCTCCCTTTGGCCTTTTTTTTTGTGTTTTTTCAGTGCCCTGTTTTTGTTCTAACGTCTGTGTCCTATTTCTCACTTCTGTCTCCTTGCCATGTGGCCTGGCCTGGTTTTGTGCGGTAACATGCCCTCTGTTCTTGCCCGTCGACCCCCTGTCCAGATGTATACCAACAAAAAGTCACCCTTCACCTTTTTGCCCTTTGTGTCTGTTTATGTAAATGCAATTGAGCACATACATTATCATATTCACCACAATTGGCTCTACGTATTTAGCGGGCGACGAGTTAATATTGCGACTTGTGGAGGTTTTGGGGGTAAAATAAAAGGGTCCTGTGGCTTCAGTAGTTGTTGAAGGCGGAAGAGTGCGGCTTGCTGGTAAAGATTTATCCTTCTGCTGCCACGGCTGGCCAACACACGATGTAAATAATTTATGGCCCTAGCCTTGCCGCATAAATTCTGGTGACAAAGTTCAATAACTGAAAAACAGTTTGGTGGCCATCTTAAGCGATGCTGTGTGCTTGCAGCGGAGAGAGCCGCCTCTGTCTCCATCATTTTTGCTCTTGCAGCTGCAGCACCAGCCGCCGCCGCCGCAGCAGCAGCATTTTTAATTCTGTAATCTGTGATAGCTCTGAACACATTATGTTAAAAAATAATCTTTAGGTTAACATCGACGTTCAGTGTCCAAAATGAGTTCATTATTTATATATATATTTTTTAAATATCTCACTTTTAAGAATAATTGACATTTGCATCCTTTTTGTTTACCGAGTGCTACCTTTTATTTGCCAGGCGAGACAATAAAAATGTGATGCCTTTTGTTTCGAGGGAGACCTGGATACCCAGAATTATTAAAGGACAGTTGTCCTTTTGTTATTAGTTGACAGTGCTATACAGTGGCTTACTGTTGCAAATTATGCTAACGTTGAGCCTTCATCAACCCACGCAGGGTTTTGTTTTCACCATACTGCACCCACGCCGCTCTATGCGGGTTGGTGAAGTGGGGATGGGGGTACAGGACTGGTTCAGACGCCGCTCGCCACTGACGGTGGCTGCCGCCAGAAATCAAGGGCACGTGGCCAGGTTCAGAGCAAGTGCGCCAACCACAGCGCCACACCCCTCCACCCGAGTGACGTTACAGGGTCTTTAATGTCTATTTGTATGAGAGGCAGAATGGTTGATAATTCCCATCAGACATTTACCAGAACTGCTTTTTTGTGTTTAGTTTGATGTCCTTCCCCCGCACCTCCGATCAGCACGCTTGGCTACGCACGGTGCGAAATAAGTTCAACGTTCGCGCAACTACATGGACGGAAATTGAACCGTCCGACTCTGTGTTCCCTGGCTTCTGTGTGCTGCGATCCAAGTGGCGATTAATCTCCCTAAATTATACTCCGAACGGGAAGTTGCTTAGCATGGCACACGAGCAGTGAGAGGAGTGAAGCGTGACCATGGAAGATGGACAAGGTGCAACCCAGCTGCGCGAGATTGCGCGGCGAGTTGCTGAATGTGCATCGCTGTGCGTCGCACAGCCAACGACCTGGCAGCGCACGGCGATTTAGCAGCCTTAGGAATGAGACCAAGCAGCTGTGACCCATTAAAGCGGAGAGTGCCTCATCTGAGCAGTAATTAAACTCGGTCTATAAAATTCAAATAGCACCGGCCATTCACATTACGTAGTCTTGGTGTCAAACGTGCACATTTTACTGTTAACCTCTTCTTTGCCGTGATACGGAATAAAGAAATCGTCATTCGTGGAAATATTCATCATTCTCTATCCACCATTAGGTGAAGGTCTTTCCCATGTATCTGCTGCTTACTGTATTTATTTTTGTTATGCAATTCTCTTGCTTGTGTGTTGTTTCATGTTTCCTATTTGCTTGCTTTCTCTGTCATCGTGCTCCAACTATTAATTGCCAAAACATGCATCGATGAGTGAACAAGAGACCTCTGCTTATCAGTGACGATATTGGGGGCCTGCTGTTGGCAGTAAGCACATAAATGGAGAAGAGGAATTTAGTCACAATGTTGCAGCCTCGATCATTTACGGAGTGACATTCACACCGTCCACGTCTTAATTATCAAGAGTACAGTACACATTAAACATCCTCGATGAAATTAAATACTGCCCATACTGAACGAGAAGTGTGAGTGTTGGTCTGTGAGTTTGCACGTATTGGTGTGAGCGATGTTGTGCGTTTTAAAGTGGCTGGATAGCCGAGTCATCAGCACACTCACGACTTGGGGGAGAGTTTCGTGAAGTCAATGATTCGATTTCTGTAGCCACCTGATAATTTATGTGGAGAACTATCAAAGCATGTTGTTTGTAGTAAAGTGGACGTGAAAGTGTCTTTGATATTGTCAGGTCCAATATTTTTAAAATGACACTATTGAATTGAAAGAGAGTTCTTATGCAGCTGTGCTTGAACAGACCTTGTTTTCAATAGGTATAAACACCTCCAATTAGCACGGTTGGCTACGTACAGTGCGAAAGAAGTTCACCATAAATATTTCTTTATATTTACCCCTATTATATATAATACATCGAAGGTAATGTGCGAATATGAATGTGCTCATTGTAAAGTTAGTGCTTGTATATGCCTGTATTCACGTACGTGGGAGCTTTGTACTGCTTCTGTGTGGGCATAGTAAGGGCGTGATAGTAATTGCACTGGCAATGAAGCTCGGTGCTGAGTGGAGTCAGCTGGGTGGCTCAGGTCAGAAGGCCAAGCTGGCAACGCTGAGAACATGGGTTCAAATCCAGGTAGTTGCCTCAACTAAACCGGTTTCTCAAGTGCAGTGAGTTGATGGTCTTAGCCCAGTCACCAAGAAATACACATTAAATTAATTTGGTTCTGCAGCTGATTTGGCTAAATTCCAGCCCTGAGATTTAAAATGTTGTTTTGACGGGAATGTGATGCCCTTTTCTGTGCTGGCCAGGTCACTTGATGGAATCTCAGAGGCAGGTCTGTGATGTCCGCTTGCGCGGGCCATTCTCTAACACGAAGTGTTGCACTACTTTGCAAAATGTCCGAATGGATTCTTAATTTTTTCACATGACACCGATAGCGCAATCGGGATAACATTTAGTCGAGTGGGGAGGAAGGGGGTACAAGGAAGGTATGGTGCCGGTTGTGGCTGAAATAAAAACGTAATTTTGCCAAACTGTGGCACGAGTGTAAGCAGGTTGATAACATTCTTCGTGAGGGTTAACGTGGTCAAGGAACTGACCACGAAGGGTCAGCCACGACACTGACCCCATGGTGCCGTGCCGTCCCCGAAGCAGGCGTGCTGGATCGCTGTGTCGTCGGACTGGCAGCCGAGGAGATTCTGAGCCTGTGCGACGACCACGACCCAGCGGGGGAGTCCGTGGCGCTTGAGCCCGGGGGGCCGTGGGGGGGCCTCCACAAGTACCCACGGCTGCGCTCCTTCAAGACGCTGCCCGCCCACCGTCGCGCCGTGCAGCCACCGAGCCTTGAAGTGGCTGACAAGGTAACCGTCCCCGTGGTGCGTGCGCGCGTGTGTGTGTGTGCGCGTGTGTGTGTGCGCGTGTGCTGGGAACTTTGATATTTTATCTGTAGTCCTTTGGTATTGCGATATACAAATGTGTATTTATTTCAGCGGCTAATCGCGAAGGCCTACGTGTTAAACTGGCTGAGGATTCGTTCCACGTTTGAGGTGTTTCATTGTACGCCAACATTTAGTGACTTAGGTCTGATAATTTTGTTCCAAGAACTGGTTCCACTTTTATATGGTGTCCACAGACGTTCCATTCCATCGAGGAGCTTTCCTTTGTTTCATACTGCAAAGAGAAGTGTTTACATCTTCACGTGTGACCTCGGGTGCTTCCTGGAGACAATTATTTTAAGAATTACAGACCCATTCACCTCCTGTACCAAGTGTATAAATTGTTGATGAGGAATCATTAGCACCAAAGTGACATTTAGAGTATGAGCAACGTGAGCAATCTGAATTTAGGACAGGTTTACCTACCATCTACCTCATACATACTATCAATTGGATTCCAGAAAATAAAAATATGGATTGGAAAGATAGACACTGACAAATATAATAGAACAAAAGCGGAAAATCCCGCGTTATTTTGCCTACAACAGGGTACTGTAACCCTGTACAAAGGTAAAGGTGCAGCTTTAGAGAGCCCCTCTGAAAGGTATTTGGCCGACTCTTCCACACTAGCCAGATGTCTTGGAACAGATTGGAGTAGTCGCACCTTGCCGTACAAGTATCGGTAGGCAGTGAAAATGTGAAATTAGTATTTGTACAATAATGTAGTTAATACACAAGTGGTTATAAGAAGTAGTAGGTGCCCAGAGGTCGGTGATGAAGGAGAAAGTATAAACCAGAGTAGTGGGAAAACGGAAGAGCAAACGATGTGGCGAGATGGTAATTACCTAGCCTGGTATACAGGAGGTCGTGGGTTTGATCCCGACCCTGGCGCCTGCTGTATTTTTGGAGTTGTGTGTCTCTCTCCCCGTGGTTGCGTGGAATTTTTTCAGGGCCCTCCGGTTTTTCCCTCCACATTTAGAAACGGTATACGCTATTAATTGGCTGCTGTAAATTTCCACATGGTGTGATAGGCAGGTCTTTTCTGAAACAGAGATATATATATATAGCTCAGTGGAAATAACCTGGTAAAATGATTTTTTTTGCGAAATAGGTATAGAGGTGACTTTTAAGTAGCTGCGGGATCTAGCGGAAGGAGCGGATGTGATGGTGAGGCATGGTACCATCACTGGCATTGACCACGATGACTTCTTCACTTTGATCTTGATTTCACTAGATTCACATTACGGGGCCACCAGCGTGGTTTGTATGCCATTCGCGCACACACTGTTGTCATTTGAACTCTGTTTTTCCTGAAGCTCCTGCGATTTGATATGGTGCTCAAAATGCATTCTAAAAATAAAAACAGTCACCTCATGATGGGATGAACTGCTATATAAAGTTACCATAGTTTTGGACTGATTCTTTCGATGTGATTATAAAGTTTTGTGGCTGCTACCCATTGGGATCTTGGTTAAATAAAATATGCCCATCGCTTTCACAATCAGCTCTATTGAATAGGACATTAATATCGTCCTGTGTTGTTATGTTCGTCGGCAAAGGTGCAACCCTGAAATTACTTTGCTCACGCCACTGCTGGTGGAAGAGCCTCCAGTAGAGGGAGTTTTAGAGAACCCCTCTACAGGGCATTTGGCCTACTCATCCACACTCATCAGACTTCTTGGAATGAGCGGGAATACTCACACTTAACCCCACCACACATCACCTTCAGATCGACTAACTGTGGGGTGCCCACTGATACCGCTGGTCATAATCGTAATTTTTAAACTGGGGAATATTTTCCAATGGGGTAATAAGGAACGGTCGTGAAACAAAGCCCAAATAAGCTAGAGAAAGAATATATCTGGGTTCACTGTGGTACAAGTGTATACAGTACATATGCAATTTTGGCCGTGCATCATTATTTTAGATTTCGGCACATGCAAACCCCACGCAAAATCTCAACGCCACGAGCAGATCGCCACTGTTCTCACGGATTCCGTGGACATAAATTATTCACAGCTCATAATCTGGTCGCTGTCAAGCAGCCTCCTCCCTCGCAATGCGCATCATCTCACATCGTCAGCAGAGCAGTGTGTGCTTGCCCAATTAGAAAAATGAAATGGACATTGTAACCGGGTTGTCTATTAGTCGAGTCTCCGTATTGACTCGTTAAGGTATAAATCGTTTGTGGTCATCTGCTCGCCTGACGGCTGACCCTATGGCTGGTGCGTCTCTCAGGAGGAGTATTCTGGCGAAGTGTTAAAATGCCTGTAAAAATGTCAGCCAAGATATATGCAGAGGCCCACATTGGGCATCATAAACTATAAAGACGCTGGCAGAAAATGGCTTTATAAGAGAACATTTCTGGAGGGACTTAATGGCATTAAAACAAAATTAACATCCGGTGTCACGGGATGTTTTGTGTTAAGAATTAAGATTATTTAGATGACCGTGAGGTTAATGTATTTATTCGAAACATAATTCATCTCTTGATCGTGTGCTACCAGCTGTGCGTGATTTAAATGCAACGTAAAGCACGATTAAACAAATTATGATTTTGTATTACTGTGTCACCAGTGGTGCACAAGGACAAATAACAAAAAAAATCAACACATTCGTCACTGTGGCCTCACGAAGAGAAATATCAACATCATAGGCCACTTTGCGGGAAATGGCCCTTCTTCAGAGCACATGCTGTTGTTGTACAGTGCTCGTCACGGATGTGTTGAGATCTCGGTTGCTGAAGCGCGGTGGGCCACTTGCACGTGAATTCGCTTTTAGCCCCCGAACCATTCAACTTTCGTCGCGTCATATAGGCGCCCTGCGTGTAAGCGCACTGCCACGGGTGTAAATTCACCAGGGTGTTGTTAGCAGCAGTCACAGAGTGTAGACGTCACGGCTGCTCGACTGAATTGCGGAGTGTGCACGTTTGCTTAGTGCTGATGAACGAATACCAGCAGGGGGGAGTGTGACACCATTATGAGAAAAATCACAGCATGCACTTAATTAGTTTAATGAATTCTCTCTGCACTGATGGTATTATATACGGAGTCATTTGGCACCACGATGAGGGTAAATGTTACATTAGCATAAAACATAAAATGTGGGATTTAAATTCTTTACTTAATTTTTTTATATTGGCCTTCCCACATACAGTGAGCGAAAAAAGTATTTGATCCCCTGCTGATTTTGTACGTTTGCCCACTGACAAAGAAATGATCAGTCTATAATTTTAATGGTAGGTTTATTTGAACAGTGAGAGACAGAATGACAACAAAAAAATTCAGAGAAACGCATGTCTAAAATGTTATAAATTGATTTGCATTTTAATGAGGGAAATAAGTATTTGACCCCTCTGCAAAACATGACTTAGTACTTGGTGGCAAAACCCTTGTTGGCAATCACAGAGGTCAGACGTTTCTTGCAGTTGGCCACCAGGTTTGCACACATCTCAGGAGGGATTTTGTCCCACTCCTCTTTGCAGATCTTCTCCAAGTCATTATGGTTTCGAGGCTGACGTTTGGCAACTCGAACCTTCAGCTCCCTCCACAGATTTTCTATGGGATTAAGGTCTGGAGACTGGCTAGGCCACTCAAGGACCTTAATGTGCTTCTTCTTGAGCCACTCCTTTGTTGCCTTGGCCGTGTGTTTTGGGTCATTGTCATGCTGGAATACCCATCCACGACCCATTTTCAATGCCCTGGCTGAGGGAATGAGGTTCTCACCCAAGATTTGACGGTACATGGCCCCGTCCATCGTCCCTTTGATGCGGTGAAGTTGTCCTGTCCCCTTAGCAGAAAAACACCCCCAAAGCATAATGTTTCCACCTCCATGTTTGACGGTGGGGATGGTGTTCTTGGGGTCATAGGCAGCATTCCTCCTCCTCCAAACACAGCGAGTTGAGTTGATGCCAAAGAGCTCCATTTTGGTCTCATCTGACCACAACACTTTCATCCAGTTGTCCTCTGAATCATTCAGATGTTATTGGCAAACTTCAGACGGGCATGTATATGTGCATTCTTGAGCAGGGGGACCTTGCGGGCGCTGCAGGATTTCAGTCCTTCACGGAGTAGTGTGTTACCAATTGTTTTCTTGGTGACTATGGTCCCAGCTGCCTTGAGATCTTTGACAAGATCCTCCCGTGTAGTTCTGGGCTGATTCCTCACCGTTCTCATGATCATTGCACCTCCACAAGGTGAGATCTTGCATGGAGCCCCAGGCCAAGGGAGATTGACAGTTATTTTGTGTTTCTTCCATTTGCGAATAATCGCACCAACTGTTGTCACCTTCTCACCAAGCTGCTTGGCAATGGTCTTGTAGCCCATTCCAGCCTTGTGTAGGTCTACAATCGTATCCCTGACATCCTTGGCCATGGTGGAGAATTTGGAATCTGATTGATTGATTGCTTCTGTGGACAGGTGTCTTTTATACAGGTAACAAGCTGAGATTAGGAGCACTCCCTTTAAGAGTGTGCTCCTCATCTCAGCGCGTTACCTGTATAAAAGACACCTGGGAGCCAGAAATCTTTCTGATTGAGAGGGGGTCAAATACTTATTTCCCTCATTAAAATGCAAATCAATTTATAAAATTTTTGACATGCGTTTTTATCGATTTTGTTGTTGTTATTCTGTCTCTCACTGCTCAAATAAACCTACCATTAAAATTATAGACTGATCATTTTTTTGTCAGTGAGCAAATGTACAAAATCAACAGGGGATCAAATACTTTTTTTCCCTCGCTGTACCTAACTTCTCGGCTCAATCAATCAATCAATCTCAGTGTCGCAACTGGCGTAGAACAAGACGCGGCTGTACACAGCGGAGCGTGAATTTCTGTTACGATTGCAATGAAAACGTAAAAACGCGCAATGGCAGGACAGGTAAAAAAAAAACATCATGCCAAATTGTAGTCTTAAATATAGAGTC